GATTTGTAAAAAGCTCTTTGTTTCTTATTTAGTGCAATTTCAGAATCTGCATATGCACATTGAACACAAACATATTACACTATCAGAATTCTTCTATCCTAAAGAATAGGCTTCTGTAAACCTTTGACGTGCTGGTATTTTCTCACAAATATTATTTAAGTGACTATGACTAACTCAGTCACAGCTCTTGAAATTCACATTTTTACAATATTCAGAATATGGTTTTTGAATTGTTATTTCTATTATACATATTGAAGGCATATGCTACAAAAATAAAAAATCATTCTGTTTTACTATAAAAAAAATCTATAAAGATTAGATGGCTAGAGTTCTAAGAGCTACATGAGTTAGTAGTGGACATATGGCTAACGAGGGATGTAAACTTTGAAGATACAGACTGAAATCCTTACCACAATAGTTTCCATTTCCTCTTTAAAGAGAAGTCAATGCAATAATCGGTGTTACGTTTGATGGATGCCAACATTTTAAATTAACAACTCTGAACTTGGAAGTGTAAAGACCATTGTAGATAATGTGGGCACAGAAGACAGGGAAATGTTAAAGAGAAACAAAAGATAGTTTTAAACTATGAAGGTAATTCAGACTTCCAAAACATTACAGCTGGTGAAAGTCAGCCTCGCACCACTTGGTTCAATGGAGCAATGCTGATTTGCTCCAGCTGAAGATCTATCCCAATAGACCCCAATCCTGGGATCAGTGAATAATCAGCACTCAGTGAAGCAAATAGGAATTTTGAGTGGGCAGAGCTTGCAGGAATGGGCCTTAAACATATGGAATGTGTAAATACTGCTCACAAAAAACAAGTGATGTTTTGTTACCCTACACTGTGCTCAATAAGCAGCTACAGTTCCTCAGAACAAGATCAGAGCATATTTTTTTAAAGTGGATAGTTCACATTCAGTAGGACCAACCACACCACTAAAATGTTGCAGTAATCTCTTTTTAAATCTAAAAATATTCTAGATTATTTCTAGTTGACAGTTTAAAAAAAGAAGAAATCTGCAGTCACACTACGTAATGAAATAGGAAACGAAGAGCATACATACAAGGAATTTAAAAAATGTGTTACTCTTACATCAGAACTAAACAACAGTGGTATATTTTCAACATTCGGGTATTCTTTAAGAAGTCACCATGTATTACATTAACATTTTTAATGCTGTTGAAAGCTACGGAACAATAGACAGACAATATTTTTTCCAGGTAAAGACTGTAACTTGCACTTTTTAAGGAGGCTATTTTGGATCTCAACTAAGCCTGCTTACCCCAGTGAAGAACACGGCAAGCACATTGCTGAGTGTAATTGCTAGACTGAAAAATATCAAGGCCCTGATCCTATAAAGACATACGTGCTAAAAATTAATCAAGTTCATAAGTCTTTGTAGGTTTCGGCGCAAAGACCAGAAATAATCAGCATGGTCTCTTCAGTGAATGCTGTCTTCTAGAAAAAAAAAGTGCATTGGACTGATAGTGAGGACCTAAATTTTACACCTATTAAAACATACCATGAATAACATCACATTAAAAAAAAAAAAAAAAAAAAAAAAAAAAAAAAAAAAAAAAAAAAAAAACAAAAAAAAAAAAAAAAAAAAAAA